AGAGTTGCAATAAAGTTAATAAAAAGACAATAATATATTTTATACAGTCTGAACCTTGTCTCTATATTGCTCGACATAGTATAGAATGTGTACAACTAGAGTAGGTCAGTTTAATATTTAAATTGAGTTTTAAAACGTACGTACATGCAAATATAAAGTTATTAATGTGAAAATAAAACACTCAAATCTCATCAATCATCTGTTCCAGTTCAGTTTTCTTTCAACTGGAATGGGAAATCTGGTGCTTCTTTCGCAATTGTTGATGTAATGTAGTGATGTTCCAGGATTGAGCATTGTAGCAGAGGTCGGCTGCCTGTTTATGAGGGGAAAGTCGAGTCCTGCCCCCTCGTCCGGCGTCTCTCTCGTGGATGCCAAACATGATGATACAGTATCCATTATTATCCTTATATTGTTATTACTACTATTATTAATACCATTATTATTACTTCAAATTTCTTGTTATTAAATTAGATTTATCGTCAACATAATTATTATTAAATTAAAGTAGTAGTATTAATATTTTAGTTTAAGTCTATAGTAATAATAATAATAATAATAATAATAAGCAGATGACAAAGTTATGAATGTACCTAACTTGGCGTATTAATAATTAATAAAAACTAATTATCCAGAAACCATAATGCTAACTGCGTAGTACACTGCTGGCAAAAAAGTTCAAACACTGGGCAAGGAATAATTTCTAGTAGAATAAAATTTTGTTAAAACATTTGTAATGTTATTTTCTATTATACCTGAAAGCTTCATAACCATGTCTTCTGTAGATCTTGATTCTTAAGTTGTGCTTAAAATACAGGGTTGTCATAACCTTTTTACCAGCACTGTAGTTACATATTTACATTTCATTACAATTTCAAAGTATCTTGAATGACAACAGACAACACACACAAACACACACATAGTTTTATATATATATATATATTGTATGTTTATATATATATATAATATTATATATATATATATATATGTATATATATATTTATAAATATATATATATATATATATTATGTATACAAACAACCCCACTATTAGTAGGAAAAATTTGGTTTTAACGACAAGCCTGTATGCAGGGTAATATATCAATTTAGGAACTCAATAATTCAAATAATAAAAAAGATAATAATACTAATAATTATTATTATTTTTTTTATTATTAAACAAAACAAACAAATAAAATACAAGCCAACCATATAAGGAATGCGCCTTATTAAAAGATATTTAATGTTTTGGAGGCGAATTATTACTGACCTACGTCACGAGTGTGTTTGTGTGTGTGTGTGTTTATTTGTACGTTTGTTTATTTGCGTGTGTGCTTGTGTTTGTTTGTGTGTGTGTTTGTGTGTGTGTTTGTGTGTTTCCTTACGTACCAACTTATTAAAAGATATTTAATGTTTTGGAGGCGAATTATTACTGACCTACGTCACGAGTGTGTTTGTGTGTGTGTGTGTTTATTTGTACGTTTGTTTATTTGCGTGTGTGCTTGTGTTTGTTTGTGTGTGTGTTTGTGTGTTTCCTTACGTACCAACTTGCCAAATTTTCAATACTACTACTACTACTACTACTCTACCATTAATACTACTACTACTACTACTACTACTATAAAAATATCACTAACAGTAATGATAATGATACCATTAAGTAAAACAGCTACGACAAACGAAGTTAATAAAATGCTTGCATGGAGGTTTTACAAGGCAAGAACGTAAAGTATTCAATCGTTTGTAATATGTGCGTGTGTGTGTGTGTGTGTATGCGTGGGTGTGTGTGTATGCGTGCGTGCGTGCGTGTGTGTGTGTGCGTGCGTGTGTGTGTGCTGATATATATTCATTCATTCCTTCATTCATTCATTCGTTCGTTCGTTCGTTTGTTCGCTCGTTCGTTCGTTCGTTCGTTCATTCAGTCATTCAATCATTCATTCAGTCGATCGTTCGTTCGTTCATTCAGTCATTCGTTCGTTCATTCATTCGTTCGTTCGTTCGGTCATTCATTCATTCGTTCGTTCGTCCGTTCGTTCGTTCGTTCATTCATTCATGCATTCATTCATTTATTTATTTATTCGTTCGAGCTGTTAGCATTAAAACTCGAAATTGGAGAAACCAGAAACTTTATTGATAAGACGGTTTTAAAGGTGCCGTATAAGGAAAATAATTTAAAAATTTGAAACCTCCCAAAAAAACTGACTGCAGAGGCTCTCAGAACAATTTTCAGGGCAGTCCCCGTATGGGACACACACCTTGCATACCCTTGCATCTTCACTGTCAAAATTGCTATGATAATGAGAACATATATAAAACATACGTTGTAATTATTAAGTTAAAATAATAAAACTTATGATTTAAGTTATATAGATATTTTATAATGCTCGCCATACATTTTAAATGCGCACAATAAGAAATAGAATCAGCATTAAATTATGTTCAAATAGTGTTCCTAACATGGTAAATCGTAAGATGACGAATAAATTGCGTAAGATAATATTAATAATATAATAATGATAATAAATTATAATGATAATAGTATAATAATTATATTATAATAATAATCAATCATTAAGTTAGAGTTACCGACAGCAAGCGAACAAACAAACAAATGAACAAACAAACGAACGAACGAACGAACGACAAAACCCACAAATGAACGAACGAACGAAATAAAACCCACAAACGAACGAACGAACGAACGAAAAAACCTACAAATGAACGAACGAACGAACGAGCCAACAAAATGTTTTTTCTACATATAAAATAATTAGAATATATAAAAATGAGGAAGACAGTTAGAGAGCCGGGTGCGTAGTAGAACAAGAAATGAACTCCCATATAGCTGGATGTCGTTTCTTGCTTTAATTTTAAAGTGTTTATCAACTCATTTCAAGCTGATTGCTTTATTAAGTTTGTATTACGCTTTATGCTCTGAATTCAACTCTGCTTGACTCAACCAATCCCAGAATGAATAATGAGAATTAGCCAGCCATTTGCAATGAATGTAGATTGAAATTTATTTAAAGTGTTTGACCTGTGTCTGGGTTTGAATGAAAGAGTCCTGACAGGAAACACCCATGAATGAGATTCATGCTCTGCATAGTAAACTTTTTTTGGATACTCTAGTTGTTTGAGAATGATAAATAGTGAAGAATTCATCAATTATTCTTAAAATTCATCAATTATTCTTAAAATTCATCAATTATTCTTAAAATTCATCAATTATTCTTAAAATTCATCAATTATTCTTAAAATTCATCAATTATTTATAAAATTCATCAATTATTCTTTAAATTGTTCGCGTGTCTGACGAAGTTTCATTCCTTCTCAAGATGTTGTGGGCGGTTATGTTATTCTCGTTCAAAGCGATGTTGCCACTGACTGCATTCAACGAACCAACGCATAACAGCATCAGGTGCTCCGTTGAAAGTATTTTGTCTCTAAATCTGAAATTAAATCATTGAAATGAAATTAAATATTTAAATTCGAAATTTGAAACTAAAATTTACAAATGAACTATTTTTCTAAAAATTATAAATACCTCGATTCCAGCTTGCAAAACAAACAATTACGTCTGATCATTCGTCTTCAATGTTTCATCTCTTTCTATCATTCAATCTCTCTCTCTCTCTTTCTCATTTTTTCTCTCTTGTTTCTCTCTCTCTCTTTCTCTCTCTTTATTCTTTGCCATTGACGGTGGATTTTTACGAAACGAAACGAAACGATATCTTTCAATATCGACTCGAAACACCTGCTCGTGAAATAGAATCAGCTAGTGGGGGAGGATAAAGCGTATCTCAATAAATGTCAATGAACACCTCGTAACAACTATTGACTTGACAGTTTTGAAATTTTAAAAGAACAAAAAGTAAAATATCGAAATAAGATGCTCTCTGCAAATTTTTCTCCGAATTGCTATCATTAAAAATAAATTTCAGTTTGAAAAAATCAAAATATAATCAAATATTTAATTTAATCGTCTCCACGTCGTTAATCATCTTCTTGATCTTTCCGTGTGAATTCAATCTGGAAAGAAGATTTTTAAAAGTCTCATTAAAATATTAATTAATTGAATAATTAATTGGTCAATTAATTAATTAATTAATTAATTAATTAATTAATTAATTAATTAATTTAATCAATTAATTAATTAATTAATTAATTAATTAATTGATTGATTGATTAAATACAAAGAGGTTTTTCCCATTTGCTCATTCTGCAATATTTTTATAAAAATTTCTGTCCTTTGTTAGGGAGCTCTGATCCGACAAACGCTTAACTGCCTGGGCATAAATCTATAATTGTAGTTAAATTTTCGTGACACAGCCTTTGAAAGTTTTGTGGGTTTCGGACAGGTTGTATTTGAACCAGATCATTGGTTCGTAATCATCATCAGATCATCAGTCACGTAAAACAGGGTTCTTCTACCGGCTCTAGCTAACTAGCCAAACAGTGCAAGAAAATCTGGTATCTTTTTTAAAATAAATTTTCCAACTTCGAACCAATGTTACATAAGTTCAATTTAACTCTAACAAAAATATAAATTTACAACGCTTATGAAAAACTTTGACGGTTTGAAATACTGAAATCTATTTAAAAACCGAAAAGATGAAAAACTAAATGTTTTTCTAATTGGAATTGAACTTACTGCATAGTCCGTCAGTGCATGCGCCAGGGCAGTCCCCACAAGCCGGTCCGACTTTGTAAGGGCTTTTGTCGACATAATTCCCTCTATTTAAAAAATACTTTTTTTAGATATAAGCAAATTTACTTGATGTGTTATTCACAATTTGAAAAATGTCTTGCAGAGTGGAAAACATTGAACAAATTTTCAAACGAATATGTAGTAAGTTTCGTGTTAGGAAGATTATCTCTTTTATAAATTTGAAAAAGTTATATTAGAAATTATTATAAATAATATAACAATACTTATTATATTATAATATATAATAAATTTTTATAATTACTACAGTCAGTTTAAAAAATAATTTAAAATATTTATCACCCGGGTGCATAGTTGCAGACGACGAAGAGACCGTTGGTGTAGTAGAGGTTCCCCAGTTTCTGGCAGACTGCATGTGCACATCCGAGGTCTGTTGTTTTTGCCCACACCACCTAAAAGATGTTTCCAACATTTTTTCATCTCAATTTTTTAATCTAAATCAGATAAAAATTTAAGATTTTGAAAGATGTCATGAAATTTGTTAACTTCTTATGCCACTTGAAATGAATACGTCTGCTATTGCGAATATAATGGTGAATATAATTTGAGGTAAGCATTAGCTATTCAAGCTGGTTGCGGTTCCTGGTCCTCTTGCTGCATTGACCGTGTTCAAACGCAAAGAAATCCAAGCAATCACATGCAATGTATGTGATGCTTTGACTCACGCATATTCATTCACACGCGCTATGTGTGTTTTGTTGATAGTTGTAAAAATTTATTAAGAGAAAGTTATTTACAGTAACGACATTAATTGTTGAGCTGTTGGGCAGTAAACCAAAATTTTCTACCTGAGTGTAGTGACCACAGATTTTATCCTTGGCACAGGTTCTTGTGGATAAATTGTAGTTTTCTTTCTCGCTGAACCAGTACCTAACAACACTCTCATAATTCACAGTTTCCGGAGCCTGGCTAGACGCGTAAAGGTTCTGACCGATGTAGAAGTTAGATTTAGGCATGTCTGGATTGCCGTGCTCGAAAACACATTTTTCACTCCATGCATCTGCTTTCTCGGCTAAAGCTCCATTCCATCTCTGAGAGAAAATCGTTCAGAAATTAAAAAAAAGTTATTTTGTAGTTTAAAGTAATGAAAAGACAAATATTAAAAGAAGAATTGTGAAAAAAATTAGTTAATGGAGTTTCTTACGAGAACTTTCATATCAGAAGCGCCTTCATTTTTTCTCAACTTGTTGTGGATTTTCAAAACTTCGGCAATCTGATCGTCTGTCAACTTCTCGCTCCCACATCCAAGGACCGTCAGTGAACAAATCAACAGCAGCTTAAACAGCATCTTCCAGATTCTGAAATGAATGTTCTTCTATATAAATTAATTATTTACTAATTAAGTTCTATTATATAATTATAAATGTAAATTTTAAATAAAATGAATTACTTAATTATGAGTTATATTTTAAGATTAAACTGGAAGATATATATATCTATTTCTACCTGACCAAATCCCGACTCTCTTCTGTGGTTTATATACAAAACCCTTCTCCTCAGGGCAAGCCCACACACAAATCGCGAACATAATTAAATGCAACACATTTTTGAAATTATAACAATAAGTAATAAAAATAGCTACAAAAACAACAACAACAATAATAATAATAATATGATAATGATAATAATAATGAATAATATTCTAAATTTTCAGGAATTTTTTAATTAATTTATTGCTGTTTAAATTAAAATACGTGTAGGTTTTCTGAGCTCTTATTGATCAATAATAATAATCATAATAATAATAATAATAAATTCAATATATTTTTCAACTATTGATCAACACCTCCACTAATAATAAATAGCATATGACATTTTTAGAAAATTAAAAAAAAGACAGTTATTATTATTGTTATTATTATTAATTATTAATTATTATTATTATTATTGTTACTATTATTCAATTAGCATGGGCTTTTCTTTCTTTTTTAATCATTTTAAATAATTAATTTGGGTTATCTGAAAATCTAATTTACTCCAATTACGAATATTATAAGCAGCAGCTGACCTTATCGTCACGCCGTACGTGAAATCTTATTTGTTTTCAAACCCGGTAACATGTACTTGAAATTCGGAGTAACAAACCCCAAACATATCAACACACACACACACACTCAAACACACACAGGCACACAGACACACATAGACACACACACACACCTGTATACACGAACGCACACACGTACACAAATAACACTTCAAATTTTTATGTCAGCAGTTGTTTAATTTTCAATTTTGAGAAGCAAATAAAATTTCGTTTTGTTTCGTTTCTTTGTTAAGTCTCAGTGGTATTTCCCGAAAGCAGCTACAACAAAGTCACAGTTTATGTGAATACTAACTACTCTTAAATCAATGTATGTGATAGACGAGAATCTCGATGCATTCGAACCCAGGTACATCAGCATCATTACCAAGTCCCTTAACCGTAACACCAACATGTTGTCCAGAGCGGCATTTTATTATTGAAAAAGGATTTTAGAATTTTTTTTAAAACCAACAGGCGGTGTTGCATGCATTAAGTTATTTATTAATTCAATGAATAATAATTTAATTTTGTGTCCGAAAGTTTGAAATATCCAAATGCTTGATTAAATTTGAGATATAAAATTTGATATAATTAATCAAATGTTCAGTTCACGGTTAAATAATTTATGAAATGTTTGATGAAATTTGAGAGAGCATTAATGATTAATTTGTTCGATTTGCCTTGTACCAGTTGGACGTGCAACTACTTCTGCGATTAATTTGGCAATGAAATAAAGAATTTTTGACGTAAAATGTTTGAAAATCTTAAATTTAAATGTTAAAAATCCTAAAAAATAATCTATACAAATTTTTTCCTCAAACAAATGCCAGCTCTGCAAATGCTCGTCTGCTTGCAACTCCATCCATAAAATTACTTCCCGTTAAATTTAAAAAACATCTCAAAAACACAGCAGCAACGACGCAAGGCATGGCAGATGGCAAAACCTATCAAAATCTCGCACGGTTCATCTTACAACAAAATTTTTAAAGGGCAAGAGTGAGAAATTTCTACAAAATCGAACTTCCAACCAAAATCGAACTTCTAACTGCAGAGGCCGTCCGTGCACGCGTCCGAGCAATCAGCACACGCAGATCCAATCTTGAAGGGTTTTTGACCGACGAAATTCCCTCTGTTTACGTGCAATATTATTATATCGAAATGAAATTTTATGTATTTTCAATTAAAAAAGTGAATAAATTGAAACTAACGCGGGTCCATAATTGCACACGAAGAAATAGGCATTGGTCAGTTTAGTTGGCGGGAGAGTTGGACAGAGAGCATAACTGCAGCCTACGTCTGAGGTCGCTGCCCATACAACCTCAATAGTTTTATTCATTTGTTCATTTATTTATTTCGCTTGCTCATTCATTCATTTTTCATCCATCAATCCATCCTTTCATTCACCAACTTGGGTGTAATGTCCACAGACAGCCTTAGCAGCGCAGGTCTGAGTGACGCTGTCAAACTTTTCCTTCTCCTTGTACCAGCTGCTGATGTAGCTGGAGACGTTGACAGCCTGGACGGTGGTGGCGAAGAGGTTCTGCCCTGTTTGGGGGAAGGGAGAACTCGGTGAGCTCGGTTGGCCGTGGGTGAAACTGCAGCTGCTTGCCCAGGTGTCTGCCATCTCAGCCAGCACGCTGTTCCATTTCTGAGAGAGTCATCAGGAACGAATGAAACATTTCCAGGTGTTTCATTTTTATCGACACTCGTGTCGATCGTTTAAAATTGAATAAATTCTAAAAAAAACAACAACAAAAATTTATATTTAATTAATAATCTTATTATAACAGCGCCATTTCAAAAACGCTTCTCAATAAATTTTGCCAACAAATGGCTCTTAAAATCCGATTGTAACTTTGTAGCTGATTGAGAAGAAGTTAGAAAAGAAAGGAAGAGTTTTAGAGCAAAAGTACTACAAAAACAAAGACGGACTTAGTATAAAAGATGAACACAGTGAATTAAGAAAAAAATCCTTACAATTTTCTTCATATTTGACGATCCTTCGCCTTTTCTGAAGTTGTTGTGAGCGTTGATGATTTCACTTTGGACGTCATCCGACAGAGGAGCGCGCTTGCCAGGGGAGACTATGATGATTTCTTTCTCGGCACTGCTGACGACCAAAAACCATCCAAGCACCAGCAATGATGGAAATAACATCGTCAGTCTGTCTGTCTGTCTCGTTATTTGTCTGTCTATCTATCTATCTATCAATCTGAAAATTAGTTAATAAGGTAAAAACGTGGAAAATACTTATGAGAGTAATTATAAAGATATGTCTTGCCAAATATTTTTTTCCTATATGACATCAAATCAATCATAGAATCTAATCATAAGATGGAGCAATTGAAACGCATTAAAGATCAACAAAGAAATATGAACAACATCTGTACTACTAACTCCGATGAGCAATTGTTTCAACTTGGAAACCATTTCAAGTTATTTATTTGTAGGAGGGACAAGAGAGAGAGAGAGAGAGAGGAGAGAGAGATAATAATTGTTATACTAAACCATGAACAAAATAGCATAACACCTGCTTTTGCTTGTCTATCTATCAATCAATCAATCAATCGATCAATCAATTAATCAAATGTTATTGTATAGCGCGCGATTTCTTAAATGCAAAAACACTGAAGTCAGAAACAAAACAAAAAACAAAATTATCATTTTCTCTAACATTTTTGCCGGAAGTAATAAGGCGGAAACAATTTCTCGTCCGATCTGACGAAGATTATTTTTAAAAATTTCTTTCATCGCGATGCAATAAAAATCAATCGAATTATCCGCATAGCATTTTATCATGATAATAATAATAATAATAACAATAAATAGATGATAATAATATTATCATTTTTATTATTACTATTCTTTTATTCGTAGTAGTAGTTGTAGTAATGGTAGCAGTTTTAGCAGCAGCAGTAGTAGTTGTAGTAGTAATAGCAGTAGTAGCAGCAGTAGTAGTAGCAGTAGTAGTAGCAGTAGTAGTAGCAGTAGTAGTAGCAGTAGTAGTAGCAGTAGTAGTAGCAGTAGTAGTAGCAGCAGTAGCAGTAATCGATTAAACGATTTGACGTGATCAAGAAAAGGATACGAGTTTTTTTTATTGACGAACGTTCATTCACGTATTTGTACTAAGCCAGATTTAAAATTTTTTATTATTGCTATTATTATTGTTTTATTATTATTATAATCATTCATTTGTATAGCCACCATTCACTCATTTAATTATACCATCAGTCGTTCATGTATCGTATCGTATCGAATCGATATGTATCGTCTCGTTTCCGTTATCAGCGAATCGCGCTATCGAGTTTGGCCATTTTCATTTTTAGTAGCACCAATTAAAAGTAACACTTTTTTTTAATTTATAAAAAAAATATTGAAAAACAAAATCAAACAGAAATATTCACATAAAGTATATAACAACAATAATAGTAATAATAATAATAAGAAGAAGAAGAATAATAATAATCATTACCACGATCATCATATGAACAAACGAAAAAAAATTCACTGAAAAGTAATCAAATACTCCGGATACATCTGATAGTCGTAGAAGATGACGTACATGGATGGAGCGTTCAAGCGATCCACTACGGAGTCATATAAAATCCCTTTCGCGGGATCTTTCAGGGGAGGTTCCTTCAAGCCAAATGCCCCTTGCCCAGCGTTGCCGACCAGGACCCTCGCCTGGTAGATGTATTTGCGCCCGTGAACGTCCGGAGTGCAGTATCCACTGATTGAATACTGCGAATTCACGGCAAAGTAAACTCCGTTTCCGTACACCAGACCTGTAGGGTGTGTTCAGTCAACTAAGAGACCAACCAACCAACCAGCCAACCAACCAACCAACTAACCAGCCAACCAACCAACCAACCAACCAACCAACCAACCAACCAACCAACCAACTCACCGTGCACACCACCATAGGACCTATTAAAGTTGTTGGAGTTAATTTTAGGGATGACGTCACTGGAGGTGCCGTGCCACAACCTCATCTCGATCTTCTTGCCGCCATAGAGCGGCAGGTCACTCTCCATCGACAGCATCTTCACCTTGTACTGTCGGTAAAGACTTGGATTCTGTATGCGCTGGATCTGACGGGGTCAGGGTCAGGGTCAAGGTTAAGTGTATTGTTTAATTTGGTATTGTAATTAAATTCTGGACTATACTTCTAAAAAGTTGGTTAAAGTAGGTTAAATTGTGAAGAGATAATTGCCCCGGTAGGATTTGCAGTATGCAAAATTATTATTTTGCAATGGTAACAAATTTTTCACGATATATTAGAAGTATACATGTACGGCCTGAACATGAAAAAATATGAAAGAAGGAGTTAAATGAATGCCGGAAAATGAATGAATGAATGAATGAATGAACGAATGAAAGAACTAACGAACGAACAGACGAAGGAATGAACGAATGAGGAAATGAAAAAAACGAAAATAAACAAAGAAATAAACATACAAAACACAAGGCCACAACCTTAATGATAGATTTTATTAAATTGTTGCTGGTGGCCCTGAAGTGTTTCTCTACCCTCATGAACTCTGACCCCACCGAGCTGAGGTCGACAAGTTTGTGGGTCTCGCCAGAGGCCATCGGGTCCCACCTGTCTGGCAGTTTCGTAGATTCTGGGATCGAAGAGGAAAAGGGTCGGGGATTAAATTTCAAATATTTTGGAAAAGATGTTTAGCTAATTCCATAACATTAATAAACTTATGAATTCACAATTCATTCATTCTTTCGTTCTTTTTTCATGCATTCATTCATTCATTCATTCATGCATTCATTCATTCATTCATTCATGCATTCTTTCATTCATTCACTCATTCATTAGAATACTCAAAGAAAATCGATTTCATTAACTTATTCAAAGTTTTCAAGTCACATCGAAACGAACCAGTCGGAATCCTCTTAACTTTAGCTGAGTATGCATTCGAACCATCGATCACGTCATCCGTCATGTTCTTGACACTGACGCTATGCTTCTTGCCATCCTTATCGGTGAAGCTGATTTTTTCTTTCGAGTTCGTCTGAAAGGCCTTCTCCAGCCGACCACACGAATAGGAGTCGTATTCAGACACTCCTACATTTTTGCTGGCATCAGCCATGTAGTAAGTCCATTTTACCTGGGTATAATAAATATATGTCTCTAGAATAATGAGAGAAGGAGAGAGAGAGAGAAAGAGAGAGAAAGAAAAAAAAGAGATAGAGATAATAGAGATAGAGAGAGATTAAATAATGGTCTGGTCTGAAAGAAAATGGAAAGAGAAAGTTAATATAATACAAGTGTCTGGGAGAGATGGAAGCAGGAAAACAGACACTGGAATCAACAATGAGAGAGAAAGAAAGAGAGAGAGAGAGAGAGAGAGAGAAATGTGGAGAGAGAGAGAGAGTACGGGAAAGCAAATAAAAAAAAGGAGAAGAAGATTGAATAAGAGTAAATACAGAAAAATAAAGAAAACAGAGAGAGAGAAAGAAAGAAAAGAGAGAGAGAGGAGAGAGAGAGAGTGAGAGAGAGAAGTTAAACCACCAACGTAATTAGCCAGGAATTTTATTTCCTCCTCTTCCTTCTTATCTCTTATTAAATTTTGTATCAGCTGGATGGCCTTATGAACGCAGGATTTCTCACCTTTCACTGACAGTTTATTCTTAAGCAAGGATAGTTCGACTGAGGCCTCCTTCTTAATTTTATCCAACTGTAACAATTTTTATTCAAAATTTTACCTTTTTAAGATGTAATCGCCGATAAAATTAACTTTTTTCTAATTAAAATTACTCTTTTTGTTGAAAATTCCCATTTTTTAAAAATGAAATCATTAAAAAAATTGATATTTTTCACACGGAAAACCTCTTTTTTCGAAATTTCGCAGTCCAGATCAATTGTTTCAACGGTCATCATGCTGTCGACTTTCTTGTTGATTTGACTGACAACGTTGATGATGTTCTGCTCAGTCATGCTGTACACCACCAACTGAACATCGTCATTGTCGCTACCACCACTACTACCACTACCACCACCACCACTACCAGGATCTATTCTATTTTCCGGCATTTTAAAATTTGAACCGGATGCAACTCCCACTCCCGACGTTCTAGTTGCACTCTTTCCGGGATAGATATAATTTTTCATATTCTCTTTGGCATTTGCTCAAAAATCATAAATATTAATAAAATTATTAATTATATTATCATTTCATTCTTCGTCTACTTCTTTTTCTTCTTATTGTTATGCCTATTCTTAAGGCAAGTAGTAGCAGCAGCAGTATTGATTCTCACTTCGCGTTTGAACGTGGTCACTGTAACAGCAGAATCAGGCGCCTAAACCATTGCAACGAAATTCTTGAAAGAAAACGTAAATTTTAAAAATTCGTTCTCAAAATTCTTACCTAAAAACTGGAATCGAAAACTAAAAAAATTCTGAAAGATTGATGATGTCAGACTATCAAAAGTCTTCCTAAACGACTCCAGAATCTTATCGTCGAGAATGTAGATATAGATGGACTTCAAATTCGTTGGCTTCTTGTGTGCAAAGGTTTTCGCAGCCTCATATATCGCGGTTGCCATGGCGTCGTAACACTCGCTACCGAATCCTTTAAAAAATTATTCTTAGTGTTGAATGGTTTCATGTCCTTATCATAATTATCATTAATAAGAAATAATTGAACGAAGAAATATTGAATTATACTGAAATATAAGAAAAGATTGAAATATAAGAAAAAGTTTAATTATAATTGATAGCCAATATATATTGTTATTTAAGATTGTTGTGTATACGCACTAATAACACTTATAAAGATTCCTAAAAACAAAACTCCGCAAGTACATAAATTCGATAAACCAAAGAGACTTGACGAGTTTTAAACATTTCAACTCTTTCAGATAAATGACCAACATCCATAAATAGCGAGAATCGTCTACTAAAATTTGATAGCCAAAGAGATAAAAGACAAAATTGATAGAATAAAACATGAAAAAACCTCATCTTACACAGATTGCATATGATAGATAGGGATTGCCTTGCATTCAAACCAGGCAAGTGCAAACCAGCTAACTCAAAACCAGGCGCCTTAACCAACTACACCATTTCATCGACCACAAAAGTTAAAAATAAAACTACAAACTCGTTCCGACTGGTGGCATAGCAATGGAGGTGACTTTCCTGTTATCAGCTTCCTCAAACATCTTACTTAGGACATCCACCCAATTATTAGGACTCTTGCCGCAGACGTGAAAAATGAATTTGTGTGGTAGGTTGCCGGCTGACGTCACCGCCATGTGGTCTTTCAGATGACCTTCAGGGTTATTATACAACTTTTGTAGGAGCTTTAGACATTTTTAGGAGGCCTCAAAGATTATGATAAAATTTTTAGAGGTTATTATGAATTATTACAAAATAATTGACTCTGAAAGAGGAACTGTATCTTTTATTATTAGTTGAAATCAGAGCTAAAAAAAACACATCAAATCAACTCTCAGCTCTCAGAGGTACCAGCAACAACACACACACAGACACACACACACACATACACACACATACACACACACACACACATACACACACACACTACACAACGTAGCAGCCACATGACCAGACGCCTCAAGCATTGATTAAACCTTCTTGCCAACCAGGAATTAGCATGAAATTTTGTGAACGAACATATGAAAAACTGTTGAAAATGTTAAAAATATCAGAAATGTATGTTGTCCTACCTTGACGCTGGCATTCTTTGACGACAGCATCACCCGCCACAGACATTATCGCCTTCGAAACAGCACCTAGACCGAAAATTTTGTCGAGAACTCAAAACCAACTAAAATAAAGACCATTAGTACAATATTCAATCAGCTTATTACTAAAGAATAAATAAATTATGCAAAAATAGAAATAAAAAAAACTTCAGAACACCCCCAACCAGAGTTGACGTTAAAACGTTTGTTAGTACTGTTCACGATAGCGTCAGTTCGACTCTTCAACAAATCCTCATTAACTAACTCTATGACCAAATCTTTCACGCTGAACTTGTTCTTATCAGAGCTACTACCATTATCACTAGCATTACTGTTATTACTAGCAGCAGCAGCAGAAGTAGCAGCTGTAGTAGTAGTAGAAGTAGTTGTAGTTGGAGCATTTTTCGCTTTGTTATCTTTATAACCTTTAACATTTTTAGAAGTTTGTCCTGAGAAAATTTCAAATTTTTTTTTTAAGATTGAATGGAGAGTCTATTAACTCTTTATCAATTAAACGGAACTTTAATTAAGCATTAGAAATCATTAATTAATAAATGAATTGATTAATTAAATTATTTATTTATTTATATATTTATTCATTTGAATATGTAAAAATTAGGTTATGACAAACAAACTTACCGGAGACTTTACTTCTTATGCTTTTCAATTTGTCCAAAAATTCCTACAAACAAATGAATTCTTTTTCAGCGCCATAAATTTAATATATAAATATTATTGATATTACTATATAAATAATAATAATAATAATAATAATAATAATAATAATAATAATAATAATAATAATAATGAATGGGGCACTTCACCTTGTGTGTTTCATCATCAGTATCGTAGATGACGACATTTATCTCGGTCAAATTTGTCTTGGAGGTAGTCGTTGCAAACTGTGCGATCTCTTCCAGCATGATCCGGGCACATTCGAATGCTGGGACTTGCAGCTTTCCAGTTCCCAGCGCTGGGAAGGAGATGGACTTCAGACCATCTTTCCGCGCCATCTCCAGGGCGTTTTTTACAACATTTTGCATGCCCTTTTCAAAGAAATGTTGCAGAGTTTTTTGTTTTACAATTCTCGCTTCAGTATTTCTTAAAAGTATTTCTTTGCGTTCGAACCAGGCCACTACAACAGCACTGCCAGATATCTTAATCATTACACTACCTGGTCACCCAGTTGTTTTTTGCAGAGAATAATTTAATTCAACATAGCAAAAAGTAAATGTGGGAAAATCAGTAAAGACTGAAAAGTTACAGCAGCTATATAAAAAAAATAGGCACACAGTAATTTTCAACGTGCTAATCAATTTGTTGGACCACAAGTAGCGAGCTGGAACGCACGTGATCCCCCGCTACCATGTGGCGTGTTTTTACAGCTATGAAAACTTCAATTCATAAGCTGCTAAAACTGCGCTATATAAATAAAAAAAAATGAAATGAAAAATAAAAAAACAAAACATAAAACACAAAATGAAATATATAATAAAAAATACTTTTTCAGTCCTAACACTATCCTTATTCCACTGCATGCAACTACCATGGTAGACAAACTTGCACGGAAGACCATAACCTCCAGTTTTGACCACTTGACCTGCCGTTATGTTTGGACCCCCAACAACCTTCTTCAAATCTTCCTGCATTTTTGGGCCGGCTTTGTTTAACAAGACCTATCAAATTGTGAAAAAAATGGGTTAATTTATGTATTGCTGTCACACTTTTACATCTAATATTTGCTTTAAAAAATTGTATCTATTAGAATGCTTTCGTCAACAAAGAATTTTTGAGAATATGTCATTATAGGACATTTTTGTATTTTAGTCTTTACGTGTATGTTGTGATTCAGTTGGAAGGCAAAAAGAATTTAAGTTATCGCAAACTAACTAGATAATTGATTGCCTCAAAAATAAGTAGAATGCGTGCTTTTTTTAAATGTCTCTTGCTGATTATGGTGAATAAAAAGTGTCGAGAAAAAAAAATCCAACATAAAACGAAACAGAAAAATGTAGTCTGCAGAAATTTATAAAACATAAAAAACCAAATCTGAAACCTGAAACAGACCTAAAACCCGAAAACGAAAAAATTAAAAATATATATATACCCTTACAACCTACACAAAAGCGAAAAATTCCAGTTATACAAATTTCTACGAGAAAAATTATCCAAAGTTTAAAAACAATAACGTTGAAAAAAAAATTAACGCCTACTTTAGAAATAGCCGTCTTAGTAAGGTCCAACTTATAATCGCAACTATCAAACAAGACATCTGATGTCTGATCAGCTATTGAGCCCCTAACAACACTAACAATCATTCCATTCTCAAATTGTAAACTGGTGGCGGCCGCAGAAGATGCAGACATGGAGGTTTTGGAAGTCGGTGGTGAAGGCCTTGTGTGGCCCGTTTTTTGGTAGTGGCCACCATACGACTGTGTAACAAATTTGGCATTTCCTTTCCCGAGATATTTTATTATTACCTAAAAGTTTATTTTTAAAAATCGTGACGATGTTAATAAAAAATAATTATTATTAATTACAATCGTGGTTAAATTCCAATAAAATGTCAAAAATGAATTTTTAAATGATAGAAAACAAACAAGCACGAGACCTTATTACTATGGCACAACCCTTTCAATAAAGTTTCATCTGACAAGAATTTGTCAGCGTAAGACTTAACGAATTCAGATCTGACAAGAACTTTAGTGCAAAGCTGTTGCAAGGCGCCGGCCAGGTTCGTTACATTCTCTTCTTTCCCCATCAAACAAAACCCAGACTGACTACTGCTACTTTTCTCTACAATCTTTATATCTACTTCTCTTTGTTGGAGAATAAATAAATTGTGATGTAGTTGGTTCCGCATGTGCGGATGGAATCGTTCATTATGAGTAATTTTATTATGGATAACGAGAAATTATTGTTAATTAT